ATATTTTTGATAATTTGGAATATTTTTCCCTAAATTTCTCTTTAGAATAGCATAAATAAAACAAATCTTACTTAACTGCCTAGATGATGTGAAGAAGGTATCTTGCCAACTCAGCCTGATGAAAGAAATTAATTTCATTAAGTGTACTTGTTTGGATCAAGGCCATATGTTCAGAAGGCACCTGTTCATTTCCAAGTTATGTGCTTAACAGGAGTGATACACAGTGTTGGGAGTCATAGTAGAAAGGTTATAGAAGATAAGATAGGTCACTATAAATGAGGAGACAAAGAGAAAATAAATAGTGAGAGGAGGCAGTGAATTCACCAACTTCTGGTCAAGACATTTTAGAGATTCGGAAGAATATGATATATTTTGAATAAACACTTGCTGTCAAGCCCTGGCCATCCTTTGTGTAGATGTGTGTGGTCTGTGAAGACCTCTTGGAGCCAACTGAAGCAAAGCTTCAAAGAGAAGGTGGATTCACAACTGGAGAAAGGATGGGAAAGAGGCTGTTGCATTATGTTATGAAGAGTTGTGCATGGATGCAAGAAAGACTTTTTGTTAAAAAGATGGTCTTGTTGTACAGGGAATACTGATTAGTCTTCATCTTAAAAAACAAAGTGTCTACTAAAAACATCCCTAATGTCTACCCTTGAAAAAAAAAACTTATTTTTTATGATTAGGTAGTCTTCTAGAAGACTGTATATTCTGTGGAAGAATATAACCAATGGTGCAATTCCTAAAAGTATAATTTTTCCCCCTTAAAAGGTCTTGGCAAAAAAAAGCAGTAGTTCTGGGCCAGGGAGATAGCTCCACAGAATAAGCACCTGCTGGGCAAGCACAAGGTCCTAAGTTCAATCCCTGGTACCACGAAAAAAAAAAAAAAGCAGTACCTTTGTATTTTGAAACCATATCCATCTATAGTTGGACTCCTCATTACTTCTTAAATTCTTTTGTTCTGTCAGCTCTATCAGTTTTACATGTTGGTAAATGATTCATATTTTGTCTTAAAATTCAATAAGAAATTTAAGCCAGTGTGCCATGTGGACATTCATGTTTCTTTTCCCAAGTCATTTCAGAGTGCTTTCATCTTTAATTTCCTTAAATTTCCTTAATTTCTAGATAGAGAGGATCTATCTAGAGGCAAAGGGGTAACTATCCAAATAGATAGGAAGTGTTAAATATTATTCAGACAAACCCAATACATGGGATCTACAATAAAAAGCAGGGAAACAAAGGGATTACAGTGTTTCATTCAAACCCACCACCCTCAGGAGATCAGAAATCACAAGGCAAACCCATAAGTATTTATATACTCCCTGAGCTGTACCAAGAAAGTTCACAGGAAACAGCTAAAGATGCAGCGACGACATCCAGCATTTAATTGGGTTTCTATGGAATTTTGCTCTTTCCTGAAATTATAAGTCAAGTGGATGATATATCATTATTAATCTCACTATTAATGAAGTTTGGCTTTAAAGGTAGGTCTTCTACCACCTGGACCTCAACCAAACCCTTACAAAGCAGACCTTCCTGTAGGAACTACGTGGCTTGTCTGCTGGGTCCTAGAGGTGCAGTAGCTATTCACAGCGTGTAAGCACTTAGAGTCCCTGTCATATTGGGCTCCACAGGGACCACTGGAGAGTAGAGCCCGTATCATAGGGTGTGTTATTGTTGAAATGGAGGTAAAAGATACTATGGCTTGTTGTAGCAGACTACAGGCCACACGTGTGACTTCCTTGGGTAGAACTCAGTGGTGCTTTGTACAAAAGAGAGAACAGGCCACACATGCTGCCAGATGCCCCTGTGGGCAAACTGTTATCCTAACTTCTCTGCCAGTAAGCTTCCTAAGAGCATTTTGTCTGTTCCACCTCTTTTCCTGAAGCCCAGCTACTCTGCGTCCTCATAAATAAAGCTTAACCAAATCCTCCAGCACCCTTCTTTCTGTCCTCATTTCACTTGTATTCTGTGCCTCCATTCTGAACACTCACTTCTGCTTTCTGACATGCCCTGTTGTATTTATGTCTGTCCCCTCTTCTAGTTTTTATACTCTTGAAGGGAAGAATCTAAGGTTATTTTTGTATTTCTTATCTAAGGTGCCCAATAATAACAAGATGACCTTTACTGAGCATGTATTGCTAAACACATATTATCATCACATTTAGTGTTATGCAATCCTGTAGCGTGATAGTAGACAACATGGACTCTAGAGTGTGACACCTGTGTTCAAAGACTTTGTCCTCTGCTGTGCGCCAGTGTGTAGGATTCTAACAGTCTCCTGAGAGCCTCAACTTTATTATGTCTTCACAAAGACCTCCATAGATATCATTAAATAGATCCATTAGCTAAGAACCAAGTTCATTTTTGTTCTTCTCACTAAACAGTCCTGATTAACTTGTGATGTGGCATGTTTAGCTTTTTAGACAAATAATAGATAGTGATTTAACTAACCATAACACTAGCATTAATTCTTTGTATTTCTTTAGCATCATGACTTTTCACATAAATCATTACCACTGTTCTTCACACCACCCTCAGAAGATGAGCGGTAGGTATTCATTTCTCCCATTTTACTAATGAGTATAATGAAAGAAGGCAAACAAAATGACTTCACATCATCTACAAGCCAAACGGGCAGAACCATAACTTGACCACATGCATTATCTTCTAAATCTGAGCACAGGACTCTTGCCTCTACCTTGCCTTCTTTCTGCACCATTCACATGTGTGTGAGTGCACCTGATAGAAGGCACCAAGTGCAAGGTACTTTGCTGGTGTTTCAATGCCTCAGGCTGTCGGTAACCATAGCAATTGTCGCTCTCCTCGTGACACATGAGATCACCCAGTGCACACTCTGTAGAGCTGAGTTAAAAGAGATGAGGCATTTTCCACAGAGGGCCATTAAGTTTGGAATTCCCTTCCCCTGGCCAGACATAACCCTTGAGTATTGGTCTTCTGGGTCCTTGCAAACCATATCAAGTTGGGTTAGGCAGTTCTGATTGGTAAGAAATCCTAATGGGCAGGAAGAAAGTGTTAAATCAACTTTTAGTTATGAACTGCTCTAAATTTGTGTTTTGCTGCTCAGATCCCCTAGGAGAACACCTTAGCCAAACATGATTCTTTAAAAATAAAACTTTAGTCAGCAGTATGCCTGATTTTGTTTCTGTGTTCTTACATCATGTTGTAAATGATGTGTTAAAGAAACCAGTAGGGAAGATTTTGTTGCTTTTGCATAAACTATTTTGCTGTAATTGACCAACCATAGAGAAAAGATCGTCTTCCGTACCCTCACAGAGAGTTCCATGGTCACCAGAGACCAATAAGCAGTGTCCCTGGAACTATTATCACTTTGTTGAAGAAGCTGCTATGTGAACAAAAACCAGCCTTTGTTAATTTCCCTTTTCATATTTAAAAAACCTTGTCAGCATTTTCCCCTTGGGATTGTATAATTTGTCAACAGTGCATAGTATTTTAGTTCTATAGAGGAAATGTGCAGGGCAGTGTATTATTAGATTCACTCATCCACTAGTCATCATGTCAGATATTAATATTTCAAGGCAATAAAGTAAAATTTTTCACATTTTTATTTTATATACTTTTAAAAACTTTCCACATGTCCAAATTTTGCATATTATTATTACAGTATATTTTTTGTTATAGAAATAAAAATTGTAGGGTCAGCTGAATAACTCAGTGGATTAAAGCGCCTGTGAGCAGGCGTATGGGCTGGAGGTTTGATTCCCGGACCTGCTATGCTGGCCTGCCCCCGGGGTGCACTGAAATGGCAATTGAGACTGGGCATGGTTGCGCATGCCTGTAACCCCAGTTCTTGGGAGACTGTAAACAGATGGTTCACTATGAGTCCGATCTAGTAGTGAGACCCTGTAACACCCTATAGACCATTCCCTAAAATATAAAAAAGAAAAAAAGAAAGAAAGAAAAAAATAAGGGGGGCCGGGGAGATGGTTCAGTAGAATAAGTGCTTGCCTCGCAAGCACACGGGCCTGAGTTCAATCCCCGGTTCCGCCAAAAAAAAAAAAAAAAAAATTGTAGAAAGAAATTGTAGAAACAAAACATTCCAGAGTAAGACTGGGCATGGGCATGGTGGCACATGCCTGTAATCCTACCACTTGGGAGGCTGTCAACAGCAGGATCACTAGGAGTCCGATCTACGAAGTGAGACCCTGTAAACCCTGTATACCCTGTCCTAAATACAAAAAAGGAGACTAATTTGTATTTTACATTCTCCTTGTGCCCCCAACACACATTTAATTGCTGGAAGAATGGAGGAGTGAGATGTACAGTGGTCAAAGTGAGCCCCCATAACATGCAGTGCTGTACGCAGGGTATGGAGGCTCAGTTCATTGTGCTTTGCTATATTCAGCAATGCATGTATCTGTTTGAATTTCCAAACTGCTGTGTAAGCATTTCAAAGGAGAGATGGTTCTTAAACATCAATTAGATATGGCTGGATAACTGCTTATTAATGAACAGAGTTTGCTTAGTGCTGTAAGAGCACCAACTGTTGTACCTCCCTTTTGTTGTTTTTATTCAACCACCTGAGTCAATATAGAAAAGGCTGAGTGATGGTAGGAAAGAGTCTGAGTGAAGCTTGACTGTCATGGTTTCAGCATCTGTAATGAAATTGAAAACTCTGAAAGGAATTAGCTCATGAGCTTAAGGTTACTTGTCAGTGGGTCAAAAGATCTCGCCTGTAGCGTAATTAGACTAGTCATTTTGTTGTTGCTGCTGCTGCTGCTGCTGTTGTTGTTGTTGTTGTTGTTGTTGTTGTTTAAAGGAGGGGTATTTACTTCCAACAAGGGGAAAGGGTCTTGAAGTTAATCTTCAGAATGAAAGGGTAAACGTTATAAATTCTGCTGACCTCAGCTGTTACTTTGGATTTTTATGCCTTTGGAAAAGTGGGCTTAGGAATTGCTTGTGCTGCTGGTAGAATATATGCTCAGAAATATTCCAAATACTCACTATAAACTATATGGCAGTTTGTTTCAGTGTTGGAAGGGGTATTGTCCAAGCTGTCAAGGTATGATGAAGGATCCTTCTTTTCGTCCATTCTGTCATTCACTGTAAGTATTTGAATAAATTCTCTTTTGCTATCTCTTCACTGTTACCACAGTTGCTGTGTAGCAGTTAAAAATATAATTCTCACAATTATCTTTTTCCATTTAAGGTGAAAGCAGCAGCAAAGTATGTTGATGTTCCTGTAAGTATTTTAGATATGCCTTTTCAAACTATATGCAATTCATTCTCATTTCTCTGTCTCTCTCTCTCTGTCTCTCTCTGTCTCTGTCTCTGTCTCTGTCTCTGTCTCTCTTTCTGTCTCTTTCGGTCTCTGTCTCTGTCTTTGTCTCTCTCTTTCTCTGTCTGTCTCTCTCTCTCTCTTTCTCTCTCCCCCACTTTAAAGTAGCTACAATTCACCAGCCCTTATTTCAAATCTTTAAACTGCACCATTCCCTTAGGCAGGAGTTCGTTTTCCTTAAGCAACCACTAACCCTCTTACTAACGCTTAGCAACTTGATTTTGGGACACTCTTTCCCTTGCAACTTAGGAGCTGATAAAGAGGTGAGTTCACCATGAGAGCATGAACTAGAGCTGCAAAGAAAGTTGCAGAACTTTCAAAATATATAGTGAGTGCCTCAAACTATTGGGAAAGATCTATGCCCTTCTATTCCTTCAAATGAAAGTTTTACCAGGTTCCTTAAAAGAACTGAATTACAGTGGACCACGGTGGTGAACTCAGACTCCCAGCACTGGGTAGGCTGAGGCAGGTGGAGCATGTTGCCACAAGTTTGAAACCAGCCTGGACTACTTAGCGAGTTCAAGGCCAATCTGAATACAAACAAGAACTTGTTTCGAGAGAAAGAAAAGAAAGAAAAGAGTCTCATTGCTATTCAATTCTCAATAAAATTATGGAAAAATAATAAAAAAAATAAAATTAATAAAATAAAATTAAAAATTAAAAAAAAGAAAAGAAAAGAACCAGTTAAGTCTAAGAACTTATTTTCTGCATACAAAAGTTTTATAAAACACGAATCAGTCTCTTATTTTAACATTTAGTTTTTCTCACAATTCTTGAGATTCAAGATCTGTAAATTTGTTCAAAAATTAAGATCCATGAGTGAAATTCATGTTACTTAGCTTTGGTGAAAAATTAGCATGGTAAAAAAAAAAGAAAGAAAAAAGAAAAAGAAAATTAGCATGGTAACTACAACCAAGAAGTTAGTATAGCATTTTTAAACTGATCATCATATCAAATTGCTTTTCTTTTAAATTCTGCTGTCACATATACATATATATGATCAAGGCCTGAGGGGCTCTGTTTAATTATAGATTTCAGCATATGAATATATTGTTAAAGAACTAGATCGGTGGGAAAAGCCTTAAACTTCAAATCTAAATGAAACTGAAGTCACCTCTTCCTACATGGGGAACATCACACATCTAGATAAGCATGGTGAATATTAGACTTTGAGTCCTGACAAGCCCCAGATGTCACATGTAGATGATTCTTATTTTTAGAATTCATACTTGCATTTTTTTCCCTGGTGATGTTGCTAGTGTAGTCATTAATGGACATTTTAAGTGAAGAGGCCCTGAAAGTTATTGCTCTTCCATGCACTGTCTTTGAAAGAGGACCTTTTATTTTTAACACTACCACCAAGAAGTTTTTACATGCCACTTATCTTGTACCTAGAGTCAGAGAACCAGTGCTGGTGGGAGACAGAATGAAACACTCATGCAGAGTCCTGCAGAGCAGCAGTACAAAGAGGGAGAGGGAGGGAGGGAGGGAGGGAGGGAGGGAGAGAGGGAGAGAGAGAGAGAGAGAGAGAGAGAGAGAGAGAGAGAGAG